CGGCGATTCATTGGTGAGCCCATGGAACAAGGGGTTATTTTGAGTCATTGTGATAAGGGCGGGCTTGATTTCAAAGTTGTTGGCGGCCACGGGTCAATGTAGGATGGGAGAGTGAATATCTGCCGCCCGTGTAGCCATAAAATAGCCCATAGTCCTTGGTTCTTCCTTAACTCCCACTTCCTCATGTTGGTTTTGAAGCGGATTAGCACCTCATTTTTTATTCTCTGCCATCTCAACTTCAATTCCTACTTCAACTCCTCCAAATCTGGGACCAACTTGATGTCCCCTATCTTCAATCCTCCTTCTTGCTTTCGCTAGCTCCCTCTTACGAGCCAAGATTCAGAGAGTGCGGTTGAGATTCTTGTCTAGTGGCGCTAAAGTTTTCGGATTGCCTTTAGTCATACACCTCCCTACACACACTTAAAAGAACCACAACACGTCTAGCACAAGCAAAACTATAAAATAAAAGCTAGATTAACACCAAACAATCTTTTCAAAATAATGGACTGAAGTTCCCCGACAACGGCACCAAAAACTTGACTCGTCCCGAATATCACACTTAAATCCCACCTAAGGCCCATGTACAAACCTTAAGTGGGTGCAATATAGGGCAAGTATGTTTAAATATCATCCCGGGCCGGCCCATGTACCCCTACTTCGATTGTTTGAACTATTATATAGCGGAACAATGTTTATGAAAATCTCTACAATCTACGATTAAGAAGCAAGACTTGAAAAGTAAAAGCATTGAAACTCTTGTGAGAAGCTTCACTCGGGAGTTGTTTCCCTTAACTAACTACCATGAACCATGGGATTGAATGAATCGGTGTGCGACAAGGCGATTGTGAACCGCTAGGAGGAGAAACAATTGTAAGAAACCACACTCTCAATTGCTAGGACAAGGAATGCATTATAGGCTACAATTGTAGCCCTCTTGGCCCAAGCAATTGAGGGTTGACTTACCTTCTCCCTCAAACCAGGGTTTGGACGGCTTAATCACAACCAACCTAGGTGTTCAATTTGAGTTTAGAGGTTTGCCCTACATTAACCTAGAAAGGAGGCATGGAATGCCTAAGAAAACCTGGCTCAATTTGAGCCTCATAAGATAAGGGGGTTGCCCTCTAAGCTAGGTTAAAATAGCGCAATAGTTTGCCAAGCGCACACAATGCACAATCACCATGAAAAATGCCTCAAATCTTAAATTAAACACCGCCCACGCACAATCATTCAATCAACACAATCAACTACAAGGTAGAAGTTAGGGTTCTACAACATCCAAGTGAAAAGGAGACTACTCCATGCTAGAAAAATGAAGAACACAAAGGAAAAGGGAAAAAACCATCATTGTGATGCTTCAATCCTTCCTTGTGCTTGTAGAGATCCTCTCTTGAAGAGGAACTTCCCAAATCTTGACTTGGAGCAAACCCTAACTTCTTCTCCCTCTTGGTTCGTGGCTTTCTCTCTCTAGGTTTTCGAAAAGAAGAAGGTTTCTCTCACTTTGGGCTCTCTCTTCTTCCTCCTTTCAGCTCTCCTTTTGTACACAGGTCGCACCAAGTTCACGATCCCAGTTCACGGTCGTGAACTAATCGCGGGGACCGTGAACTCAGTCCAAAACGCAATGCTTCACTTAACAGGTTCGCGGTCCATGGCTTCAGTTCACGGTCCTATGACCGTGAACTAACTCGGCGTCAATAACCTCTGAAAACTCTCTGGAACCCCGCAAGTTCACGGTTTATGGCTCCATTTCACGGTCCTGATGACCGTGAACTCACTGCTTGGAGCGTGAACTGCGGGTGCTACCTCCTCTTTGCTCGATACTCGCGCCTTTTCTTCCAACTTTCGACTACGGGGTTCGTTCCACTTGTTAGACTCTGAAACACATTGAATCACAACAAACCTAGCGTAAAACCACACTTTTTGGAGCTCAAATGCCACAAACGGCAAAGAGAAACGGGGATAAAAAGTGTACATTTAGGCCCGAATAAGGGGACGAGATGGAATCCCATGACAGGAATAAAAGTTGGGAGTTGGTCAAACGTCCACAGGGAAGGAAGATTGTTACAAACAAGTGGATCTACAAGAAGAAAGAAGGAATAACTTCTGAAGAGGGCATTAAATTTAAAGCTCGGGTAGTTGCAAGAGGCTTCTCGTAGTGGGAAGGAGTTGACTACAATGAGATTTTCTCACTAGTGGCCAGACATACTTTGATCAGGGTGTTACTAGTGATAGTGGCACATTATGACTTAGAGCTCGAGCAGCTAGACGTGAAGACAGATTTCCTTCATGGAGAGTTGGAGGAAGAAATTTACATGACTCAGCCAGAAGAATTCCAGGTTCCAGGAAAAGAAGACTATGTTTGTAAGCTGAATAAGTCCTTGTATGGACTTAAGAAATCTTTGAGGCAGTGGTACAAGAGGTTTGGCAGCTACATGCTTGAGTTGGGTTACAACAGAAGTCCCTGTGATCAATGTAGTCAAAATCCCTATTTTAATCTTAAAATCTTACGATTTTACGATCTTACTAATGGTTCCCGATCTTGATTTTACTATAAAATGTTTGAACCTTAAAATCACATAATCCCGATTTAAAACTCTAAAATCCTTAAAATCTTTGATTTTTACGATTTTGTACGATTTCAAGGTTCATGTCAATTGGAGCAAATAAGGTCGGTCAGGTCGAGTTTTTCCCATGAACCAGGTCAAGTTTACTTCACCCGACCCAACATAATGAACAACACAACCCTAACTCGATAGGCGACCCTCAATTTATCTTCATTCTCTTCCTCATATCTTCCTCTTCTGCAAGCCAACGCCCAACTCCTTCCATCAACGATTTCTTCTACCCTCCCAATTAGCTCGTAATTTTTTCCCGCCACCCTAATAATTATCCAATCTCCATTCCATTGGAAGATTTCGTTCATCTTCCAGTCCTTCAACACAAATATCCCTGACCTTTATCAATTAAGAAAAGAATGTATCAATAAGTGAGTTACCTTTGCCAGATGATGGTGATCAAGAAAATATGGTTAATGGTGAAAGTACTTCAAGTGATCTTGAGAATAATGATATCATTCCTCAAGCAAACAGACAAGGATTCTTCGAGGATGATAGTAAGGGTGAGGATGATGATGTGTGAGGGATGTTAATGTTGATTCCAACGATTTTATGTGATTGACTGTTATTCATGATATGCATTGTTATTACTATCAAGTGTTTTAAATGTTTATTTAATATGAACCTTAAAGTCTTACAATTTTATGATTTTAATGTACGATTCCGATTTTACCTCAATTTTTTATTTTACGTAAATCACGATTTGGACTACATTGTCTATGATAGTTGTGTATACCACAGCAAGGCAGCGGATGGTTCAGTGATATATCTAGTTTTGTATGTAGATGATATGCTTATAGCTGCGAGGTTGAAGTCTGATATCCCGAGTCTAAATTGACTTCTCAGTGCTGAGTTTGAGATGAAGGATTTGGGAGCTGCTCAAAAGATTTTGGGTATGGAGATTTACAAGGATAGAGAGAAGAAGGAGCTTTTCTTGTCATAGAAGAGCTACATCCAGAAGATAATGTCTAGGTTTGGCATGTCTTCAGCGAAACCCTTCAATATCCCTAGTGCTTTGAATGTTCATATATCCTCAGTTTATGCACCGCAATCAGAGGCTGAGAAGGAGTACATGTCGAGTGTCTCATATGCTAGTACAGTTGATAGTTTGATGTACGCTATGGTATGCACTAGACCTGATCTTGCACATGTTGTTAGTGTTGTCAACAGGTTTATGATACAACCTGGGAAGGAGCATTGACAGGCTATGAAGTGGATCTTCCGGTACTTTAAGGGTACGTCTGATGTGTGGATTATCTTCGAAAGTGATACAGAGTGCTTAGTGGCTGGTTATTCAGATTCTGACTATGCTGGAGATGTTGACACGAGAAGATCGATGACAGGTTATGTATTCACTGTTGGGAGTTCTGTAGTGAGCTGGAAAGCAACTTTGCAGTCGACAGTGACATTGTTTACTACTAAAGCAGAATACATGGCATTGACAGAAGCTGCTAATGAGGGAATATGGTTGAAGGGACTAGTTGGTGATTTGGGTCTACGACATGATCAGGTAATGGCATATTCCGACAGTTTGAGTGCTATATGTTTGGCCAAGGATCAAGTCTATCATGAGATGACTAAGCACATCGACGTGAGGTATCATTTCTTGAGAACAGAGAAGTGGATTAAGGTGAAGAAGGTCGGCACCACGGATAATCCTACTGACATGTTCACGAAGCCGGTTTCACATGACAAGTTCCAACACTGCTTGGACTTGCTGAATGTCTTGAGTGGGTGAATCCGCCCTATGGGGCATTGATGGCAGGAGCCAGGAGGGAGAGAATGATCAGAGTGCATCAGATATTTCAGAGGAAGAGGATTCAAGTCAAGGTGGAGATTTGTTAGTGTGACTTGAATCGGACTATCAGCTGCTAAGACTGGAAATCACGGGGGTCTCACTGCTTCGTCAGAGAGTGGGGTCCAAGGGCAATGCCCCAACCCACGGTGTATGGGCTCAATTTTATTTGGGTTTGGGTTTTGGGTTTGGTTGTAACCGCCTTTCCTTTACCATATTGGATTAGGGTTAGACCTAGAAGAAGTACTATAAATACTTCTCATACTTCTCTGTAATCTGTATCTCCTGCACGTGAATTATAGCTAATATACGTTGTGTTAGTGAATCACGTAAATCGTGTGTCGTGTGTGTATTTACGCTGTCATTTCTTGTATTGTCGAATACTCTTATTTTTCGATCCATAGAAAACATTCGTGACAAAAAGGATATCAGAAACATAAATTTAAGAAGGAAATGAGATGAGCACTGGCGAGATATGGAGGTGAGGCAAGGACCTTGCCGGAAACCCTAGCAAAAGAGGGAGAGATATCGCTCATGCGAGAGAAAGAGTGGACAATCAAAGCATGCATCTCACTTGTTAAGTTCTCAGAAGTACCAAAATAATTGTTCTCTCTTGCTTTGTTTAGATTTTTGGCCAAGGTTTGTGAATTGGCCAAACATAATATCTAATAATGTAGGCCCCGTCTATGTAAGTTGTTCGGGCATTAAGAAAAATGAAGAAACTAATAACTCAATTAGATACTTTTTGTTTTTTATTCCAACATACAATTAGGTGGTCCCAAACACAAAAGTAATTGTCTCGGACAGGAGGAGTGAGTTAGTAGGTTGTCATCCCACTTCCACGAACAAAAGGAAGGAAGGATATGGGTTCACAGAGTAAATTGCCTAGAATAAACTTCAAATGTCTGTGAGCAAGTCAACTGAGGCTCCTGCAAGTGTTCATTTAGAAAAGAAGTCATCAGTGAGCCAAACAAGAGGAGCAAAGTATATACATGTCAGATCGGAGGGTGAGAAGATAGCCAAGGGTACATTGTGAAGTAGCTAGTATAAGGAACAACGATGGAACATAATAAGCATATATATATATATATAGACGTACCTGTTTTAGCTGTGTGCTAAAGAGTGTGTTGTTTAGGAGGGAAGCAATAGGGCCGGTAAGGCGCAAGCCACCAGATCTAGCGAGTTGGATGGCTTGGCGCATAGCGGTTAGAAGGCGCCCGTAACTGAGACCGGGCTCATTGTGCACCGCTTGGATGAAGCTGTACGTCAGTGCTCCCGTCGATATATTCCCCGTCATTGCCTAAACGTATATACAGAACAGAAGCATCGAAATCGAACTAGTTTATTTTTTTTTTTTTTCTGGCAAGAAAGCTTAGAAATAAACAGTACGCATACGTATTCTGTGATCATGGGGTTGAGAGGGAGAAGTCGTCTCACAGTGGTGTCGGCACTGGTTTCATCGTCATTACAAGCGCTGAAGCAAATGGCTAAACCTCCGTTGGTGTCTTTGGTAGCGTAATATGGTGACGGCCGCCTGTGATCGGCCCACGTGTATTGCCCATCCCTGCTGGATAGTTATGATACAATCAATCAATGTAGCCGATAAATAATAACCAAGGCACATGCAACCGTACGTACGAATCGAATGCGCCGACCTGTTCATTCGGCAGGCAAATGGCAGGTCAAGGAGCGTGGCACTGTAGCAGGAATCGATAATAGCGTGCAGAGTGGCAGCACGGGGCAAGGGCCTGACGATGGTGGCGTTGACCTCGTCGTCGATGATCATCCCCTCGGTCTCGAAGTCGAGAGGGCACAAGGTCTCGTCAAAGCCGTCCACCTCGTCCAAGTCGTAGTCGCGCTGCCGGGAGCCATGGCCGGAGAAATGGAACACCAGTGAGTCCCCAGCCTGGCACCCTTGCACCAGCCACCTTAGCCCCATCCTTATGTTCTCCTTTGTCGGAATCCGCCTCGGGTTTGTTTCATCTTCTGCTACCCCATCAGTTTAGTTATATATATGCCTCCCAAATTTATTATGAAAATAATTATGCATGCTGTCATCAGCTAACTATTGTGAGTCACGATTAGGCAATTGGAAGCAGGCTTTAGTGCAACTAGTGAGCCAAGGGAAGAAGAAAGGAGATAGCTCGCCGCGTCTTTCTGTTCTTCCCTCAATTTGGAATTATAAATGATCACAACTTTCGGTTAGAAACTTGCTTCTCCTCATTGCTCATTTTCTTCGATTGATCATCTGTCCTCCTACTTTTCACCCTCGACGACTGTCAGCACCTAGCAGCCATAAGTCAATAACTTCCTTGCCGCTCCATCCTTTGATATGCTCTATACCTTACCGCCAGCGGCAGATCTAGGGGGCCGCCACCGGGCCACGACCCAGACCTCCCCGGATCCAAAGCTCGTATAGTACTTGTAAATTTTTTATTTTGTATGTGTCTATATTTCAATGTTTATATGGTTACGGCCCAACCTTCTACACCCCTTTTCCATTGCGACCTAGTGCTCTAACCTGTTCGGGATCCGCCGCTACTTACCGCTCTTCATCATCACCGACTATCAGTACCAAGTAGCCACAAGCTTCTCTTTTGCTCTATTTTCTTTTGTCCTTACCCTCTACCCTGATGCTCTTTGTTGTTGCGGACTACCAGCACCCAATATCCACAAGTTATTAGTCCCGACTCATGATTCTACACTTTCTAAATCATCCTTCTTCTCCTCTCTGACAAGATTTAACTTTTCTTCTACTAAAAATAGCTATTTTCGCTTTCAACACCTAGGAGTACCCAAACATCTGCCTTAAACCTAGCGCTTTCTTAAACCTTGGTTATGACATCGTAAGAGAGTGGTATAAGATTCATAATTAACCTTCTCCTAACAGTTGAGTTAAGAACAAGATATGATAAGCCTACGCATACTTAAAGCTCATGGGGTTGCTTTCGTTTGATGAAACATATAAGAGAGTAATATAAAATTGTATAATTAACCTTCTCCCAACATAATGGGGCCAATTGATTTATTACAGGTATTAGTAATATATTATTATTATGATTATTATATATGCACTACTTAATTAGTTGAATTGGACATGAACATAAGGCCAAAGGAAAACAGAAGCGATTGCTACATATAGATGCATGCATGGGAGTGGGAGGGTCGTAGTCGATTATACATACCCGTGAGCATGAGAATGGAATCGGGAGGGAAGCCGGACTTGTGAAGCAGGAAATACCTCATGCACTTCACATCGTTAATACTGCCTTTGATTTGGTACCTTTTCCCTCGGTAGCTGACACCGCACAGCAGCGCCTTCTTCCTTCCGTAGCGCAAACTAGGCGGCGGCGGCGGTAGTGGCGGCAGAGAGCTAGCATAGCCGCCGCCACCGTAGTACGGCGGCCGGTAGGTGGGCGCCGCCAGCTGCAGGTCATGAGGGGGCCGAGTGGGAGCCCTTGTGATGCCTTTGCAGACTGCGCACTGGAAGCTCTGAGAATCCGATGGAACCATTAGCTTCAACCCGCACCACCCGCATCTTTCCTTCCTGCGGCTCCCCATTACTCTTGTATTTTTTCTTGTTTATGGATCAATTGGGGAGGATTAATGTTTCTTGCACAAAGTGCATCGATCTACTTCAGCTTCATGTTTTGTAGTTTACCTATACCACTGGTTTGCTCGCCTTTTCTCAATTTTGGACGACTATTATTGGTCCTTCCGTTCCGTGTACATATTCCTCCCTCCCTCCTTTCCCTCCCTTCCGTCGATGTAAAGAAGAAAGTGAAGAAGATGAACCAGATCCTCTGTTTTCCGCCAAGGCATGTGATTCTCCACTACCACTACGTGTGGCCTTGAATGAATATAATGCTCAAAGTCTCATCGCTTTAAAGCATTTCAGAACTTGCATTGCAACTTGCACATATGTGTGCTTCTGTTTTTCTTTTTCCTTTTTCGCCATTGAAACTATGCCTAGTTCGTATATTTAAAAGTCAAGAATATTATCAAAAGAAAGTCAAGAATATTGTAAAAAAGGAGTAAGGTATATATTATTTAAAAACTCTTGTTGGAGTATGAATCGTATATCAGTAATCGAAGCAGTAGTGCTCAGTGTCGGTGGCTAATAAAAACAAGTGTAGACACGTATAAATATAATAACTTATCTAGCTTTCTAAATCAACATATATATGTAAGTTAACGGGGAGTTCCCACGAATTGTATCTAGTGCGCTCCACGGGCTAAACGAGTGGGTCGTGTACCTGTCGGCTGCCAGTACGAGTGAGCATCTGTCGACTTCGGACCGGATCATACTCAAGAGAATCACGATCCAATAGTGAAAGATATCTTAGGACCAAGGACCGAACCTATAATGCATTCGGTCCAGTTTGATCCATTTGGTACGGTCTAAATGTAAATTCTGTCCATTTTTCTTCAGTATTTTTAAAATTCATTGAACCAAGAATCGAAGCATATTATATTCAATTCGGTTTGATCCGGTCCAAATATCAATTCTGACCGATATGGAATACTGCCACAAACCAAGACTGCCATCACTTGAAATTTTAAGGTACAACTTTTTATCTTCATTCTAGCTCTGGCTGAGGATCAATGGCGACAAATCTTCACTAGCTTTCTACGATCAAAAGCAGCTTGAATACTGGCAACCCTACAGCAACAACACAGTACTAAGACATAACTAAGTTACATTAGATCCACAAGAGATTACAGTTCAATGAATACACTTAAGTGCTTTGGCATTCGAAGCACACTTAGATTAACACCTATTTACAACAAACTGACGGATAAATTTTGGAAAGGAAAAAGGTGGAGTTTCAGCAATTCCCTTTCAATTCAAATGCCATAGTTGCCCCTTCCCAGCTGCAGAACATTCGGAGGCAGAGTGATAGTTAGTAGGATTTAACTCCGCACCCAACCTCGCCTCCTCTCCTTGGCAACGATCAATCGATTCTACCTTTTCTGCTGGGGAGGAGACAAACCCAGCCAGGGAAGTGTTTCATTATGTTTGCTGATTGGTAGCAGTGTGATATCCAAATTAACGACGCTGCTGACACATTGCACATATGGTGGCTGATTTGATGTTAGCAAATGTGCAAAGTTCACAGGACCAATGACCTGAATCGTCAATGCCTCCTCTACTAAGGCCGCCACTTGACCTGGATGTTGACCCCTTGCCTCTCCCACCTCTTCCCCTACTGCTACTACTACCACCACCTAATATGCTTTTTGAGCTTCCGGTCCTACTGGTGCCTCCATGAACATCCACATCTGACAGACCATTCTCTAAAGCCCGGACTAAATTTTCAAAGTAGTTCCGAGTGACACTGTCATGCAATATTTAATGCTAGAATATGAGTTCAGGGACCAACCAACACAGATGATTTCATAGAGGAAAAAAGTTTACTGACAAATACCTTGTCAATCCAGCAAGCTTGGTGCGAAACTCATTGAAATCTTTTGAAGGGCCCTCAGCAGTCAGGTATACTTGAAGCTCCTTCTCTGCGCACTGATGAAGTCTCTCTAAACCAGACTCTGCCTCACCTGTGCGCTAGCACATGCTTAGTACAGGAACAACCAAGTATAACCATCCAATAAGTATAAATAAATAAATAAAACTCCTTACCTTGCAAATACTCAAAGAACTGCCTCTTGGCATGCTCGTGTTCAGGTAAATAATAACCGTAGGAGTAGGTCCACTTCAAAACCCGGCGACATTCAACTATCTACAAACAGAACACAGTCCAGAGAAATCAATTTAAAGCCAAGTCAGCTTCTAACTTTGCATTCTGTTACTACATGAATTATTTACCTGTAACCACGCCTCAGTTATAAACTTCAGCTGGGATTCAGGTTGGCATTGATTGTCACTCAGCTTCTCCAGCTACAAAAGCAAGTAATTAGTCACTCCATTACACAGGAGAGAGCACACACGGTTGCAGTGCTAGACTGAATTTGAAGTATCAACGGATGGTTTGGGGATGTGATTTGGAGCATGGATTTAGAGAATTCATAGATTCAGCAAAAAGTTATGCTTCTTTGCTGATTTAGACAATCTATAGAATATCAAATCTCTAATGTAGAGATTCTATATCTTGATTTATGAAGATCTTTTTCTCCCCAACTCTATCCCTTCCTCTTTATTTATCCCGCCAAATACCCTTAAAAATAACAACAAGACTTTCCTTCTTTTACAAATTATATTAATGGTAACATTGTCATTTGATGCAAAATAAGACCCGGTTTTTCATTTACTATCAACAGTTGCCAACAATTAAAAATTAAAATCATTTTTCAACAATCCAATGAATTAGGATCTTTGGATTCTTTAGAATCTAGGGATATAACTCTAGTCATCCAAACGACCCTAAACTTCAATTATGATCACGTCATAGCCTAACATCACTTGCCTCCAAAACAACTAGCTGTTTACAAAATAACCCGTAAAAGTTCCTCTACTTACATGCACAGTTTGCATCTGCTGCAGGTCTGCCAATGCTTTTTGCCTTGACTACAAGAAGAACAAACAAGGTCAGAGACACGATGTTGACATTCCACTCTCGATTTGTTGGCCAAGAAGTAACCATATAATGTAAATGATACAAGTATACAACTATCTGGTTTGTTTCACTTACAAACTCAATGATTCTGGATTTTGGAGGTAATCTTGATTTTCTCACCCTAAGTTGTTAGACAACCAGCCATGAATCAACGAAACAAAATTTACATTGCTTGAAAGGACATGAAAGGGAAATCCAAAATGCAGTCCCACAGCATGAATCAGCACCATGGAAAAAAAATTATCTTCATTTAGTCTTCTCAATTCTCATAAGCTACACCAATAAAGACCTAATAGCATTTACCATTAAAATTTATGGTACTTTTCATTCAGATTACCTACATATTCAGCCATCCATGGCATCGGTCAGCAACAGTCACTCACAAGAAATAATGAAACAATCGACTAACATCAAGGCACTCTAACAGCATTCTTAGAAACTGAATAGCCACAAAATAACACTTACTGATTGATTTGTTGCCCATCGTTCATAGTAATGTGTATACCTCTCTAGCGAGTTTTTGGCCATCTCTCTTCTCTTCTCGGCCTCATCGAACTAAATCAAAAGGTTTAAACCGAATACAGAACGGAAATTTTATAATGATTACAAGACACAGATTGCCATATAGGGAAAAGAACACTCGAGGAAACAAAAAAGTAACCATAAACAGAATATACCACTCCCTCCTGCTTTGCTGTCTCATAACGGTTACATGCATAAAACCCACCAGTCCTCTCCCCGTGTTCTGTCCAAGCACCAAGGCAAAGCCTGTAATCAAACAGATTTTGGAATGAGCTACGGCATCATACATCGATCAAGCATCCAAAAAGTGTACTTCAACGCTGTAAATGCCAGACAATCCACATTTTTCTAATGAATCAGTCGTCCATACATGATGTTGTAACAACCCATCCTAATTGTAAAAGAGATTACATATATGATATGGAAAGGTTCTAAAAGCTCAAGTTGGACAATAAAAAAAATGGCAGTGGAATCCAATCCACAGATCTGACGCTAGAGACCTAGTCTGATGGAAAGAATCGAAATGAATCCCACCTATCTGTAGTCCTCAAGGAATGAAAATATGAACCCAGGGAATAGAAAAGGTTAGTGCCTGTCGCTTACCAGCAAAATTCAAATTTACAGGGAGGGGTGCAGGTAATATGCATGCAGCCTTGGTTCTTCTCAATTGGCCGCTTGCACTTAGGGCAAGGCTTGGAATTAGCTAATATCCTGCAAATTAAACCAGCAAATTATGCAGTGAGGCACATAAAAGAATTAGGATAGCTTCTTAATAATGTTTCCCTGCCACGAGCAAGACAGAGTTGGAACACTGACCATGAGCCATTACCCTGGTCACATGGCATGAATCCAAATGCCAGGGAAAAAAAACAGAAACTATTTCCTTCACAACCACTCTTTTATTGCCTTTTTTATCCGTCTTTTTTCATAAGTCCTTTTCATAATGGAATCAATTTGAAGTCATGAAGCATGTTGTCTGCACAACAAAATAAACTACTTCTAGCATAGGTCGTCAACTTTAGGTCTATCCTAGTTTCATTATCAAGAGAAATTATAAACAACTGAGGGCCCTGCTTAGGGTGAACCAGCATGCATGTACGTATGAAGGAACATCAGGGGAAGGGAACAAATGTACTTCTGCTTTGAGAAGTATCAGTCAAAATCTCATCAATCTACCAGAAAATAATTGTACTTCTGCTTTGAGAAAAGCTGGGGCTTTGGGGACAACCATTATGGGCAGAAATACTTGCAGTGAAAAACACAATAGGACAGGGGATTTAGGCTTAGCTCGAGGTTTATTTATGCACAGCTAAGTTTAAAATGTGGACAAGCAGATCCGAAACATCCAGAAAACAATCGGGGTCAACAATAAGTGATCTTCATGCATCACAAATAATTCAGTTTCAGGCATGATACCATTCAACCGGTAAAAAGCAGAAGTTCCATAACAGATCAAGTATGTCTAGGATGGCAGACTAGTAAACCTAAGGCCAACATCTAAACAGATCATGTTGTACTCTTAGAAGAGCTCTAATAAAATAAGATTCCAGGCTCTGAACATAATCTATTGATCTAAAATGAACCTGTCTTTCCACCACAGCATGCATACCAGCTTAGGAGGGTACTTCACCAAGGTTCTCCTGGTCCTTGTTCAACACATTCAAAGCTCAGTGAAAATAAAAACACGTGCAATTCTGCACACCCTAAAGTTCCAGATTGTTCTCTGATGGTTATTATGTGCTACCATTGCTGAACAAATAACAGCAAAGCAACATGACAGACGAGGGTCTGGGACTAGTGAGATCAGCCTATATAAGTGTAGTAGCCAACTAAGCTTACCAAAATAGTTAATCAATTCACCTAGTGCAGTATTCAGTATAGATCCGTTTCTTTTCTTGGAGGAACCAATAAGTACAAGCGAATATATAATTGTGGTCATATTAAATACCAGTTCATGTTTTCAGACTCAGCACTGTTCTTCAGAATCCACTTGGCTACAGTTCCACAATCAACAGGCCTGTGAGCTTCCTCTGTACACTACAGTTTATAGCAATAGAAGACCATCAGATACATGGCGATCAGCATCTACACCTAAGAATTATATCAGGCCGAGTAGCTCATTCATTATGCATTCAAGAAAACCTACACTCCAGCAAAAGCTATATGAACAGCGGCAAGTGACATCATAGCTCCCACTGCCAACAATAAAATCCACAGCATAATCACAGCCTGGAGCAGGACACCATTTGGTCTACAAGATAGTGCAAATGAAATTCATTCAGTAATCACATAAAGAGCATAATATGAACAAGATAATATTACCGCCCCAGGGAAGAGGGGGGTGAGGGGGGAGAGAGAGTTATTTCAGTCATAAGCAAGTACAAAAGCTGCAGGAACAATGTAGCTATCCTAAAACTCTCTAATTGCTCACTGAAATTACATTGATTTTAGTACAGAAACACAAGAACAGAATTTCAGCAGCATCATGGCCCAAGTTAAACAAGACAGCAGTAGATTATGATTCAGGTAGTCTTAGTTCTGAAAGTACACTCAGTTTGGTTTCTGACACAGGAAGCATACTTGTCTGTCCTAGTAGGATGCCATCTTTTATGGCAACAGAAGATAACCATTTAAGTCGCTAAGGCATACTCTATGTTCACAAGAGAATCCCTGCACTGACAGAGAAGAGATGGCGTGCAGATGCAGGGTGATAAACAGACAACTAATAAGCAGAGATCGTTCACAATTACTAGAGGTCTATGTACAAGATCAAAGACTAGTTTCTTACATTAGACTTCAAACAAAAAATGGCCGTAGGACACTAAAGGATAAGAAAAAACATATTGCTACAATCAATTGGTTTTCATGAGGTATATTCCAAACCTACTTTACTATAAATATGATCATCTCAGCCAATGCAATCAATCAATGAATTGGAAATGGAATAGTGCACATTTTACAGGGGAAGTGGAAATGCTTATCATACTTGCCCGCAGATGTCCATTTTGAGCACATTGGTTCACGGCAGAATTAACATTAAGATGAAAAGAAACCGAATCTTCAATTTTGAAATTGAAATATTGGATGATCTATCAAGGACAAAAGTTTATTGCCATAATTTTTTTTAAAAAAAAAAGTAAACTATAACCAAAATCAAGAAGAAAAGTTACCTTCCTGTTATCCTCAATGTAAGATCTGACAAAGTAACGAATGTATTTATCCTTATCTTCACCAGATGCCAATGCATTAATCATATCTTGACCAACGGCAGCGGCACAAGAGGGATCAGGGCATCGCAACATCAAACACCCAGGACCATCGTTAATGGCAGTGCTAATATAACCTGGAGGAGAAAAGAGATTGAAGACAAATAATTCCAAGAAATTTAGTCTTATCATTCTAACATGATTACCAGATGCGAAGTGTAACATATTTTTTTACAAATCAAATGCTTTACAAACTTTTCAAAGGATGGGATAGGAGAATATCGAATGAGGCCACGACACATAGCTATAGTGAAACTTCAGTTCCTTCTCTTCTACAACTATTGTATTAACATATTTAGGATTATCTACTCAGATATCATGAGTTCATGAATGCAACTATGATGTGATCTGCGAACTTCCATAATCTTCCCAACAGTTCATTTATCAATGGCGAACTAGGAAAGGAACCCCAAAATTCTCCAAACAAAGGCAAGAACTATCGTGACCAGAGAACTGTATCCATGACAGGACAAAGTGACACACTTTTCCATTAACCATTAACAACATCACTCCGTAAACTTTAGGTTCCTCTTCATCTTCACAGGCCAGTCAAATTTAAAATGATACTGACATTCAACATTCTACACCACAGAAAACAGAAAACTTATCCAGCTTTTCCTTCTGAAATTGAGTAAATTACTTAACTAGAGTCACTCTACAGAATGTAAACACAAGCAATGCATGCAAAGCTAGTCCAAAGGTTAACATGTGAAATCTGATCACCAATAATTTAACACTGGAGAAAACAATGGACATGCAGCAAGTGAGAACAAATTGCTAAAGCTTATTCAAGCATCTAATCTCAGCATTTCTTTTTGCTGTTCATTTTTGGACGAATAGGTTGATTCTTTGGAAATCCAGGGGCATCAGAACCCATAATAAAGAGTCGGTACTTTTGACAAGAACTTTCAAATCCAAACTAATTGATTTACTCATCCAAGTAAATCACTCATAATGCTATGTGTGCAACATAATGCAACTGGCAGACAATCACTTCATTTCAAGAGTTTCAAATCACTCATATCTAATAATTTTAACAATAAATTAATATTATCCCTAACTGCCACTGAAAATATTTTCCTAGTGAATTACCTGTATACTGTGACTTGATATTTCCAGTAGACCAAGAGACATGAGCCAGTCATTATATGATACTATGCCTTTTGACAATATCTTTCTCACGTCTAGATGATAAGGGCACTGAAATTGATGTTTTGAAGGAAATGCAAAGCCATATAATCATGAGACTTTAGTGTAAACAAACATTTTATCATCAATATTTGAGATATTGTCATTTCTTCTTCCCAGAAATTACATAACTTCAACTCGATACAACCATTCCAGGTTTCATAAACTTATTCGTAAAGCTTACACTGCAGTTGGCATGAATAATCCTTTTCCACTCCGCAATCACAGACGGACTCAAGCGATAGAAACGAACAAGCATGAGAATCTTCAAGGTTACCCACCTGCCCAGCAAGTCTTACAAAATGGATGACCACACGCAGCTGCATGAAGTCTGTCACACGGATAGGTTTCAAAACAAATCCCACATGTCATCTGTCGAAAAAGTGGATGTGGTAGGAGGATTAGAATGAAGCGGAAACATGCCAAATGGAACTGAGCAAGCACATAACTTTATGTAAACCCCCAGGAATCTAATAATACATCATGAGAAAGAAGGATTGCTTACTTCTCTACCATCGGGAAATGGCACGACAGGTGCTTCCAATAAGCCAACAGCCTTACGTACTCTCCCTTCGTCAGCAAACCACTCATCATGAACTTTACTGACGCTCCTAGAAGTCCCAGAGGAAATGGAAGGAAAAAAAAGGAAACTGTAACTAGTGATAGATGCCAATGCACAGACCTGAACGAGAGAAAGAAAAAAGAAGAAAAAACAAATCCCAGTACCCATCCAAGCTTATCTACAAAAACATGTAACCCTTTTGAGGACTAGCAACTGCGGTTTCATCATTTCATCAGTCCTCAAATGGTCAATGACACTGCCTAAAACCAAGTAGAAAACTTTTCGCAGCTCTAGGAACAGGTTTTCCCCAGCCTTAGTCATACCAGTTATAGTGACGGAGGAGGATGCTGCCAGCAACCTTAGAAATAGAAAGCACCGTAGATATTCTCGCCACATCATCGTCCTGACGGCGACGAATGTCGGCTTCGCTCAAAATCGTATAATTTTGCTAAGAGATAGAAGCAGAAGAAGGAAGCAGTTAGTCTTACAAACGAAGGGTGATGCTGAAGAAGTGCATGGGAAACAAAGGGGACTGAGGAAAAATCATCGGCAGACCTGGTGGCGATGTGAGACGAGGTCATCGGAATCGTCCGAATCATTGTCGATGAACTCGTAATCATCAGCGTCATCAGTATCGAACCCATCGTCTCCACCGCTGTAGAAATCGTCTTCCGCAGATTCGGCAGCGTCTTGCATATCGAAGTCATCCTCCGATTCCATGAAAGCTACGCGCAGGCAGAATGGGGAATGAGGAGGACACGATGAAGGAGAGGAGAAATAGGTAGAAAGGATGGTTTGGGGAATATGAGAGAGCGAATCCGGAAAAGGAGGGAGGAAATTGATTGGAAGAAGAAAAGGGAAATGGAGATGCGATGATGATCAAGCTGGGGCATCAACCGTCAAAATGAAAATTGATGAATTGAAGAAAACCAATGGAGAAGAGATTGCCTTTTTTTGTAGAGAGAGATTGGCTATATTCTTTTTACGGGGAAAATAATTCGATTGAGATTGAGATTGAGATTGAGATTGAGATTGAGATTGAGAATTGGAGAATACATACCACTAAAGTTAGAATAGAGTGTCGAGTATCATTAACGTTATAAAATTGTGTATTCGTTTTAAATTCTACCGTTAAAAAGAAATAAAATATTATTTTTTATGAAAAAGTTATAATAATATAAAAGAAAAAGGGGGGGAAAATTAAAGACAAAAAATGGAATGAAATTCTGTTGCTTTTTCCTCGTTCAGGTGAAGAACTCCCGCTGTTGGACGTCAGTTAGTTTCTTGACCTCCCTAAAGTTGTGGTTTGGGAGATAATTAGGTCGTCCTTCCGCCATTGTTGCTGGGTAGTCAGTAATTCCAACTTCACGACACGTCATCTCTCGACTTTTGCGATTCTGTAGTCCCAATAAACAAATCCTTTGGAGAGACCACTAGAGATAGCGATGCAAACCCAATTCAGGAACTTTCCACAATAATCACCAATGAATTGTACTTTTCATATGATATGGTATCGCATATAGAGACAGATATCCCTACCCATCCCAGGAGCAAACTCTCCCATCTATGATCTATCTCACGCCACATCTGTATCCACTAGGCGGAGCAGCTCAAAGTTGTAAAGATCCAAAAAGCAACCGGTAATTGCAGTCGTTGGTGAGATCAGGAATCCAATTAAAACTAAAGAGTTTGATTAATTTGGTTCACGTAAACGAACAACAACCAAGTTATCTCCCAAACCACAGTTTTGGGGCAGTCAAGAAACTAACCGGCCGTCCAACGATCGGAGCTCGTTTGTTCTTCACCTGAACGAGGAAGAAGGAACAAAAGTTATTCCAATTTTTCTTTTTTCTTGTATATTATTATAACTTTTTTATCGAAAATAATAATTTATTTTTTCTTAACGGTAGATGGACGGAATTTCAAACGGATGCACAATTCTATGACGTTAGTGGTACCCGATGTCCTATTCTAACTTTAGTGGTATATCTCCCTCAATTCTCATACTTTAGTGGTACCCGAGGTATTTTGCTCTTCCTTTTACTAACTGGTCGGCAGGGGTGGGCAACGGTGGGTAACCGTCTCGTTTGAAACGGGTACCAAATCCCATTTGTAGAGGATACTTCAATCCATGTCTCAAACTCGTACGGGTGAATGGGTACTCCTTACTCGTAGGGGACAGATAACGGATACCCGCTGGTAACCCATACTTCCTTCCTTCTCAAACGAACCTCTCTACCGTCCTTTCACCCATTGCCATCTCTCTGTCCTTCCACCCTCACATAGCAATTGTTGCGGCGATTGAAGGGGATGACGACATGGAGTACATCCTCGACAACGACAACCCAACCACGACGAGGTTCCAGTCTAGGAGCCTGTTCCTTAATGAGAGGATCAGGAAAGGGATGCCTTGCTCACCCGGCGGCAGCAACATATGCTCTTGAGAAATGGCTAGCTTAACTTGTGTGCTCATATGAATATCATGATCTGTTCTAGATGCTCTGATATTTAGTTAGAACTTAGAACCGTGTTTCCTCTTGTTTAATGATGTGTAAAAGCGGAAATGGATAAAAGGCTAACATTGAAGTTACTATTCATTAGTGACTCTCACACTCCTACAAGTGCAAGTAGGGAAGTTCCAAGTCCTTTTTTTTATCTCACTCTCCATTCTTCAATCTTTGTGATTAGCTATTGTTCGCTAGGTTTACATCTATTCTCCATTGTGTTTCCCATAACAATTATTGCCTACTAGCTTTTCAGCTCCCTGTTGGAGCAACTATCTACTAAATTTCGTCTATTGCTTTTTGCACAAATTATTGCCTTTGCCCACCATTAATTAATTAATTTAGTATAAAAAAGCCTAATATTGGAGTTACTATTCATTAGTGGCTCTCGTATTCCTCCAAGTGCAAATGAGAAAGTTCCAAGTTCTTCTTTTATCCCACTATCCATTCTACACCATTTGTGTTTGGCTATTGTTCGATAGATTTACATCTATTGTCCATTGTGTTTCCCATAACAATAATTGCCTACTAGCTTTTCAGCTCCCTCTTGCAGCAACTACCTACTAGGTTTTCGTTTATTGCTTTTTGCACAAATCGTCGCCATTGCCCCACCATTGGAGTTACTATTCATTAGTGGCTCTCACACTCCTCCAAGTGCAAGTGAGAAAGTTCCAAGTCTTTCTTTTATTCCACTCTCCATTCTACGACCTTTGTGTTTAGCTATTGTTTGCTAGGTTTACATCTATTGTCCACTGTGTTTCCCATGATAACCTAACATTGGAGTTACTATTCATTAGTGGCTCTCACACTCCTCCAAGTGCAAGTAGGGAAGTTCCAAGTCCTTATTTTATCCCACTCTTCATTCTACAATCTTTGTATTTAGCTATTGTTCGCTAGGTTTTGGTAAAGGGTATTATTTATTGTTTTGGATGGAAGAGAGGTAAGTAAGAATGAGTCTTCAATTCCTTTTTATTTCTTGCTCTTTCCTTCTTTGCTTGATGTTAATACACACATACAAGTAGCTTATTTATAGGCCTTCTAACACAAAATATCTACCCATATTTATGAAGGCAGTTGGAATCGCCAGGCTTTTTGTGTCTGGCATTTTTCTTCTTTTGTTTAACACTCAATGATTCAGCCTATTCTACACACTTCTACAAAATTCCACATCACACACGATTCGCTTAGTATTTAAGAGCTTCTAATATATTTAAACTTTATTTTTTTTAATTTCAACACTCCCCTTAAATTTTAATTCGTAATAACTCCAAGTAGTGTCCTCAGTTTGACAAACATATCTTGTTTGAGCGGTTTTGTGAAAATATCATCAATTTGTTCTGTAGTCTTCACATACTTCACTGTTACTTTTTTCTGTTTCACGCATTCTCGTAATAAATGATATCTCGTATCAATATGCTTACTGTGATCATAAAACACTGATTCTTAATTTGCTAACGCTAGACCAGACTTGTTATCCATAAATTTTTTACAAGACTCTAAATGTGCCATGTTCAACTCTTTTGGCAACTTTCCCAACTTCCTCTGGTCCTTCTGTTCCGTTGATGGACTTCTTCACCGATCAGTTCAACCAGATGGGCCTCCAGTTTCAGCAACTTGGTCTCCAAAACCAGCAACTCTTGGATCACCAGTTCCAGCAGCAGTACACAACCCACCAGGCTGAGTACGCCGTCGACATGGCTACCTACGACGAGCGTCTCGACCGAAGCAGCATACTAAATGAAAATAATTTCTATCAAATTAAACTAAACACAGGGATAATTTCTAGTTTAATTATCAAATGAAAATAAGTAGCGGCATGGCTACCTTATCCTACTTTAATGGAAATGAAAATAATTTCTATCAAATCTATGGCGCAAACTGTAAATGAAAATAGTTTAATGAGATTAATTTTTAAAAGAAAATTAAACTGAAAAAATTATGCAAATGAAAATTGTCAAGGGAATTAATGAGAGAAAGCTCTGTGAGAAACACAGGGACTCACTACTTATCATATCCAGATTAATTCACATATAACATATTCCAATAAGTTTAATCCATATCTCTACAGCCAGGAAATCTCTATTGTGCTAGCATACTAAACAATTAAATCAAATCCTACTGTCGTAGCTCAATGAATTACTTATTTAGTCTGAAGATCGATATCCAAATCACGACTGCATAGCACCTTATTTAATCCACTGTCGCTTCGATAAGTTGCTATGTCACATGAACTAGGTTCAGTTAATATGGTTTCACTGTCGCTAATAACCTAATTAACTGCAAATCAATGTATTGGTGTCCAGTCAACACAAACATTAAGTAATTCCATGCAATAGAGATTGGAAGGAAAAAAAATAATCCATCAAGTCTAAAAATAGCTACATCCTATGATGTTTCAAAGTGTTTCACCCAGAAATTGGGATTTAATTCATGATGAAAATAGAACACAAATCCATGTTTATAATCATTTTATTATTAATCGAGGGATAAAAGATTAGAAAGAATTCACTCCGGAGATCACTGATGATCGCAGGGCTGAATTGCTTCTCCCTCCTTATACGCTTATGCTCGAAACCTGTTTATTCAGTTTCTCTCCGTTCCTCTCGTCGCTACTGCTGGTCCCCAAAAGAATTCTCCAATCCCTCGTTGCTCTGCTCGACAGGCTCCGTACCCGTTAAGTCTCCGTCCCAATATATATGTCAATCTCCAGTCCACCAAAATCATTCCCCTAGGGGATAGGATATTATGCTAACCCCAAAAGGGGTTGGGTTTTTTACACCCCTCCAGCAGAATACATCTATCCTTCATCTTTAGGTGAGTATTAATGAAACATTATTTTTATTTTTCCGCATACTTTAAAATTTGAAAGTTACCATTATTATTGCTTTATTGGGAAAGAGAAATCACGCTGGATGGGGGCTAAGCATCGATTGATCTCCCATTATTTCCATATTCCCCATATCTCCTACCGAAAAAATAGCAACCCGGGTCTCTCCTCTACAGAAGTCGACGGCGGCCGGAAATCATCGGGCATCGTCGTGGTGGGATCGCCTCCGACCTGCCTGCTAGGTTGCTCGCCGCCGGAGGACAAGACAAGGGGATATCGCCGAAGGCCACGCCGGGAGGGGATACAGATTTGAGATTCTGTACGGAAGTTCTGGGCATGCCAAGAACGGCTGCTCCTGTGACAGCTCGAATGATGGGGGGTGAAGACGAGATCGAACTCTCTTCCCGACCGCAGGATGGACTGATGGCCGCCGAGGAATAACCTGCTGGAGATGAAGAAGAACATGGAGGGCACCGGCGGGTCGTTTCTCACCGCTCCCTGTCATGAAGTGCAAACCTACAACATTAGGGAGACGGCGGCATTGCCGTGAACATGTACCACTAATCTGATACATATACCATTGAACTGATATATGTATCACTTAAGTGGTATATGTACCACTGACCTGATACAAGTACCAGT